TTATTGATGCAATTGGCTTAATGATCCGTTGAATCATATTTTATGAGGGCAAAATTAGGAAAAACTCAATTGCACCTCTTATGAATATCGCGTTTAGTAAACTTGCTTCTCTTGCACATAACTAGATGTCACGCACATTTTTTATAATATAAATAAATAATATAAAATATTATATAATATTTATTTATTTTACCATCGTCATGTTACATAGTAATTTAATATTTACATATTTGTACACTTTACAAAATTTTACAATTTAAATTTAGTAATTATTGGTTATTTAACTTACTCATTTTTTAATTTTGCACAATTTTATGTCATGAATAATTAGATATTTCTTGTGAATGTAGTAATAATGGTTTTTTATTGTTGCGCTATACCTACAATAGTTGTTCACACGTATTTTATAATTTTAAAAATATATTATTTCATTTATATTTAAATGTTTTTACTTAATATGCATATTTAAATATATTTTATGAGAAAATTAGGGCAGACATTATTTTTAAGTTGATATTGATTGATAAGCATTATTTTCTTGATGTCGAAATATAATTAATATTTATCTGAGTAAAATATTAATATAAAAGGAAGATAAAAAATAAGAAAAATATTATATATATTTAACTCAAAATATGGGAAAGAAAAGCATCAAATAAAGATATAGAATTTTAATGCAAATAATATACAAATGGAAATAAAATCTAAATTTCCAATCTTAGTAATATTGTTTTGGCGGAAAAATGGTCTGTTTATTTACAGTGAGTCTTATCTATTGCTATATACAGAAATTCTAGAGAGAGATAGATTTATTTGTAATAGTATTAAAATTCTTGCTTAAAATTTTCAAAGGTACTATTTTTTGTAAAAATTTTTTGGAAAATGACGACTGATCGAAAATTCGAATTCAAATTTAAAAAAAAAAAATGTTATTTGAGAAAGATATTGTGTACACCTTAATGTCTCAAAATATGATCAATGATTTCCTTAAATACTACGGAAAAATCTAACTAATAATGTGAAAGAATCTTAAAAATCTTGCTTCCAAAAAATCTGATCAATCATTTTCTTTAATTTGTTCAGTCAAACATGTGAATTTGGTTACAAAAATCCAGTCTATCATTTCACGAATAAAACGTTTGAAATTTTTTGAAATCTTTCAGAAAAAGTCATGTCAACTTAATTGTTAAATATTTTGTATTCATATTTATTTATCTACAAATATTATATTTTATGGTCACAACTACAAATTTGTATTTATTAAATAAATAATGTTAAGTTCATAAATAATTTTTTTATTTCAGATTGTTCAACTTAATTGTTTATATTATTTTTTTTTTTGTCCATATTTATCTAACTACAAAATCTTTTAAAGTTTAGAAAAAATCTCATATTATGTGGAGTCTTGGTAACTATTTTTTGGTACACATCCAATGAACAATTAGTAGGATAGGATAAATATTGGAAAAGGAAACACACCATACTCCATTTGTTTGACAACGTGTCATTTTAGTTTAAAACAAGCAGAATTACAAATAATAGAAATTGTTATTTTATCCTTACATAAGAATTTCCTAAATCTCATATATATGATTTTAAAATTATAAATATATATATGTATATATATATATATATATATATATATATATATATATATATATATACACATATATATACATATATATATATACTCTCTCTTTCTCTCCTTGCTGTAAGTTATCAGCATTGTTATGTCATGACTTTTCTGTTTTCTTTTGCATGAACCAAATATCAGATTTTTTAGGATTTATGATAAGGATAAAACAAGAAAATGCAAAAATACATCTAAAACAACATTTAAAAAACCATAAGATTACAAACTCAAAGGGCATTTATTCTTAAACGGAGGGAGTAAGAAGATAAAAAAGAGTAAATATTATACAAATTAATATTAGAAAAGTTAAAATAATTCGATAAGATGAAATCACACAACACATTTACAAAATGATGCAATTTAAAAAATCTATGTCACACAACAAATTTGATGATATTTAATTTTGAATATTAAATCAACCTATGATTTACTTGAATATAAAATCTAATCATACAACAAAGTTAATGTATTGTTCCGTCTGAACCAACTTTATTTTATTTAATTGTATGTTTACCAATTTTATCTTATCTTACTTATTCTTTAAAAGACAAATTCCTAAAGAATATAAAAAAAGATCATTTTTTCGTAAATTTAATAGAAAAATTTTGATTCATAACATTTAAACTCTCTAAGTTAAAGAGATAACAGAGTCCAACATCGCGTACTCAAATAAAATTAATAATTTTAAAAATATCAACATCATAAATCAATGTGGGATAATATTTATTAATTTTTTAGATATGTTTTTATTAATAATAGTTTAGAATAATTTAGGATATTTCACACATTTTTTACGAATAATATAGAACATTTTAGATATTTTATACACATGTTATATATTAATCTACATATTTTTACACGTGATATATAACATTTTAGATGTTGTTAATATTTTATATAGATATGTTTTACGATGTTTTCAAAAGTTAATTTTTATAAGACATTTACAATAAATTAATATATTATATTACATATTGACTCATATTTATAATTTATCAATACATCAGAGTATCAACTTCTTGGTACACTTTTATATAGATTGATTTGTTTTCCTATTTATCTAAGTGTCATCTATCATTATATTAAAAGATTAACCATTTAACACTTTTAGCAAGTTTTTCCCGCCAAATACATTTAGTGTCTTCTACAAATAGAGCAGCATTAAATGTTGCCCTTAAATGGTAAACAAATATTACTTTTTTTATGATTGATTTAAATTTACATCTGTTTAAAAGTAAAAAACTACTTTTGTAATTTCAACAAATTTGTACTCTTTAATGTACGGCTGATTTAAAATTAAGAATTTATGTTTGTATTTTCACAAAAAATTGTATAAAAAAGTATGGCTGGAATAATAATAAAAAATTAATTTGTTAAACCATATTTTGCACTCATAGATACGAATTCTCATCAAATTCAAGATTTAAAATTGTGAAGAATGTATATAGATGTGGATTGATTGAAGATATATGATTCCTTAAATTAAGGAATTTTTTCCGGTAAAAAAAAAAAATATAAACTTTAAATATAGATTTTATTAGTAGTGTATACCAAAGAATATTGTTACATTTAAAATTTATATGAAGAAGAATTCTATTAATTTTCAAATTCAACATCTCATAAAAATAATATAATACACTTTTACATTCTATGAAACAATATTTAAAACCCACCGTTCAACATTCATAAAATGTAAAATTACCTAACATGAATCATTTTAACTTTCTAAAATCAGTACACAATTTGCTCGGTATGTACTAATAGTCTAATAGTTAAGAGTTAATATTTGCTATGACATCTATTGGTTGGAAAGAATTCCATTTTGTATGGAATTCGAAATAAAAAAACATATTCTGAAAATCAAATCTGATTTAGAGATCGATTTCTTAATGACCTTAAATTATGCAAATATATTGTTTCAGTTTTTAGGATTCTTTTTTATGATCTCAGTCTTTGCATTATATGAAATCCATACTTATATAAAAAGTCATCCTATTTACTAGAAATAGTAGGTAGAAAAGTCAAAGGTAATTAATGCTTGCTGGAAATAGAATGATATTAATTACAAATTTGTTTTGGTATTTATAGGCTTGACATTAAAGATTTGTTATGGGATAAAAATCAGAACCAATTTTTTTACCTTTGCTGGAAAAGTCAAAGGTAAGTATAGATTTGTTTTATCCCATAACATCGGTTTAGTTAAGAAAATCCCATCAAATCAGTTTTATATGTCAAGCATATGATAAAAGATTTAATGGGTCAAAATTAAATCCTTATTTTACGTCACCCATAAATAAAGTAGATGTCAAGCCTAAATTGAAGAGTTTAGTTGTCTATATAGCCATTGATTTAAGTAAACACATCTAATGTTTAAAGTTTGTGTAGATTGAAAATTCCTTCTTATCTTTTTAGAAAAAATCTTATTATTATTGTATGGAAAATCAAACTCATAATGTTGTGTACAAGGAGGTCTTTAATAATATATGATTCTTTGTTTGTCGAATACTATCTTATTGTACAATTTTCCTGCGTATTATAAAACTTTTATTGAATATTGCATCTTATAATATAGTATTACTCAAATAAATATATCCCGTGTCTCGCACGGGTCACGTACTATATATATCCCGTACATTTTTCTGTATTCATGCATATAATTAAAAGTCTGGATAAATAACTTTAAAATTATGCACCCGGTGCATCGCACGGGCACTGTACTAGTTTACTTTATGGTACATAATAATTCCATATTATGTTGTCGATCCAAATAAAATTAAACCAATTAATGATGTTGAATCCAACACATAATACGACTTAACATTTTTCAAAATATGTTTGCCAGTTTTCATCTCATATCCAAATTACAAATTTTAATGTGAATTTTAAATATCTCATATTTATTAAGTGTATATATATAGGGGAGAGTTCTAATAAGAACTATCTCTAGTATTTTAAAACAATATTATAAATTATGTTAGTACTTTGTTATTTATTTAGCATTTTTATTTTTTCCTACTTATTTTATAAATTTGTACTTCTACATATTTTACTGATCAAACAATATTTTTATTAATTACCCGTGTAGTACACGAGTATTGTACTAGTATATATATATAAGAGGAACAAATGATTTTTTGTTATTTTACCCCCATAAAATATGAATCACCTAATAACCAAGCCAATTGCATCAATGGAATCTTCTAATTAGAAAACACGATTACATGAACAAGTAAATTTGATTGTGAAGTAGTATTAGTATATATACATACCAACTCATCGATACATTACTTAAAACCACACTTGTTTCATTTCATTAATTTTTTTTTATAATAATAATCTTAAGCTAACTCTGGAAAAAGAGTGTAACATGTTTAAGCTCACTCTTAGATCATTATTATTTCCGATAGTTATTGTATTTCTATTTATCCCACATTGTTTGAGCATTGACCGCAATACTCAAGAATTGATAGATAAGGTTTGTAGGAGCACCTTTGACTATGGATATTGTGCAAATGTGTTTAAGAAGAATTTGTACACGCCTCATACAGACATCAGAGGATTAGCTGAAATTGCAATCACAGAGTCATTAATACACGCAACGGATACACTAAAATTCGTAGTGGGTTTGATCGACTCGGGAAGGAATGTGGAGTTGTTAGATCTTTATAAGATTTGTGAAGTTACGTATGAGAATATGGTGCACGAATTCACAGATGCGAGTTTCGCATTTGCAAGAGGAGACTATAGAAGTATGCTATTTTATGTTGAAAAGTGTGATAGATTTGTGAGTGATTGTCAGGGTGTTATGGGCAATAGGGTGCCACAATTGACTGATCAAAACTATCACAACAGAGAGTTGATTCAGATGTCAATTTTTAGTGGCCAGCTTATTGGAAAAGTATTGTAAAGTGAAAAATAAAATTATATATGCAATCAAATAATGGATTATTATTATTATTATTATTATTATTATTATTATTATTATTATTATTATTANAAATAAAAATAAAAATAAAAAATTTACTATATCTGAAAATAGATGAAAATAAATTAATCAATATATGATATCAAGTGGGTAAATTTATTTTTGGTATCTGATGATTGTTTATATGGGAAACAAATCAGTCAATATATGGTATAAAGTGATCGAAATTATTTTATAGATCTGATGGTCCTTCTATGGAGAATAAATCAGTCAATATGTGGTATAAAGTTGACAAATTTATATGAGTTATTTGATGACTATTTTTTTTTTAGGAAATTTGCTGGAAAATTAATCAATATATAGTATATTTTTTGTTTGACATGCGCAGACCAATATATTAGTTTTTTGGCGTGAGTCTTAAACTTTGTTGATATCCGAGTTGGGTCACTGAAGACACGCGATTTGAGAACAAGGGACCGGGCGAAGACGACCCTGAAATCCGGGACCAGCTTTCGGGTCACACCGAGGGGCAGAGCTGGTCGAGGAACAAAGTTGACGGGGATGGAGCGTGACATAATTCTTGAGAACGGCACTTCGATTGACCAAGGGACGACGTGGACTTCCACGTAAACATCGATCAAGAATTGGGGACCCCAAAGGTTAGAGGAGGAAATTTCGATGAGGGTCCGACCTGAAGATTCGACAAGACTGGCTCCTGTGTGGATACGGGATCTGGAAAGGATAAAATATTGTCACTTGTCGAGTAATAATTGCTGATGGGACATGATATCCTAGTCAGGCACCCTAGAGCATCTAGACCGGTAGGGCAGCCTGTTAGCCTTAAATGCCTCACATGTGTGCATTTAATGTTTGGCAGGTAATCATTGGAATAACCTCATATTGAATTTAATGTTTGTCAGAGCGGCGCCGACTTGTCACTCCAAATTACTGTACGATGAGACAGGGTGAACAATATCTGCACAGTGCAAGATTAGGACTACTATAAATAGAATTTCACACTCATTTATTAAGGTTGTTGATTTTTCCACCAACTATTTCTCTCTCTACATTTATTCCCTCAATACTGTAATAAATTACCATGATTATTTCAAGTGTAACAAAAGTAACGACTTCAGCGTCAGAGGCCGGACTCGTAATTATGTAATAAAAGTCTACTTATTTCGCAAATTCCTATTTCCTTATCTAATTGTTCATCCTTAAATTTTTTATTAATCGTTGAACGATTCAGATCATCAACAAACTTTGTTTCAATTTTTTATATGAAATTACCATAATGAAATTACCGTAACTCCGACAAAATAATATGAACGAATATTTTGATATAATGTGCGTGTCTCGATATTGTTTTCATACCAAATGCTATGGCCAATTGTTTATTTTAATAATCAATAAGTCTTTATTTGATTCATTTTTTTTACAACATTTCAAATAATTTTTTGTGTGTAATGCACTGCTCAATTTTTTTAGTATGATAAAGAGTATCTCGATTGTTTTGGTATAAAAAATCTGAACAATGATATGACGATTATTTCAGAATAAATGCAATGCTCAATTTTTTTTTTAAGCTTTGGATTTGATATTTTTGGTATAAGAAATATGAACTATGACCTATATCTTTGGTATAAATGATTGGACTGGAAGTCAAAATTTTAATGAGGTCATATAAAAATGGAATTGTATATCATTTTAATCATTCTTTAATAAAAGACTTTCACAATACCCAAATTGATGAAACAACAAAAACATTGCGCGAAATCTACAGACAAAAAATCCATATTGTCGATTTGATTCAATATACCTAATGCAATTAAATATTAATTGATTAGCAAATAACCAAAGTATAACTGCCAAAAAATCTCAAAATCAAATATTATTACATAACCACATTGCAAATCACCAATTAGTTAATTTTCAATATATAAATAAATAAATACGTAAAAAATGAAATAGCACCATATTAACCAAAAAAACGTGTGAAATACATAGAGTAAATCTTTGTCATTACAAATTAGAATAAATGTTATTAGCACACGTCTAAAAATTGACATGAATTAATTTAATATGATAATAATATTTTTTATTATTTAATTATTAATATGAGTCATTGATCTAGACAAAATGAATGACCAAAATTGAGTCTCACGTCTTCATTTTAAGGAGTGCCCTCATTTGATCCACCTCTATATATATCTTAATGATATGAATTATACAATTTATTTATAATTGTCTTATACAAATTATACAATTTATTATAATTGTCATGTGCAGTTGCCCAAAAGAAAAGCACAAACATGTAAATTATATATTTATATGTAATCTAAATGACAAAAACTGAATTTACTCAATACAATATTTATAGGAGGAGCAATTGATTTCGTGATTTTCGCCTAAACAAACACGTGAACTTAATCTGATTATATATATGGAATCTAAATGAGAGACTGAAATTACTCAATACAATATTAAATTGTATGAGGAGCAATTGAGTTCGTGATTTTTTGCCTAAACAAACACGTGAACTTAATTTGATTATATATATCAAATCTAAATGAGAGACTGAATTTACTCAATATAATATTTGTAAGAGGAGCAATTGAGTTCTTCATTATTTTTCGCCTAAACAAACTCGTAAAACTTAATTTGATTATATATTATGGAATCTAAATGAGAAACTGGATTTACTCAATAAAATATTTGTAACAGAGCAATTGCGTTCTTCGATATTTTTCGCCTAAACAAACACATAAACTTAATCCGATTATATATGTGGAATCTAAATGAGAGACTGAATTTACTCAATACAATATTAACTTGTAAGAGGATTAATTGAGTTCGTGATTTTTCGCCTAAACAAACACGTGAACTTAATCTGATTATATATGTGGAATCTAAATGAGAGACTGAAATTACTCAATACAATATTTGTAAGAGGAGCAATTGAGTTCTTCGTTATTTTTTGCCTAAACAAACTCATAAAACTTAATCTGATTATATATTATCTATAATAATACAAAAAGGTTTGGCATTTACCTGAAAAAGCAGCTAAAATCCCGCCAAAAAATAATAATCTTACTAACATTAGTAATTTTTTTTTGAAAAAAATTCAGAAATCCCGCTTAAACATATTTTGAAAATTTTCAGTCAATAATTTAAATTCTAATAATTAAAGAAAGCAGATTTATTTTGGTATATCAAATCAAATCTTAAATGGACTGATCAAAATCTTTGGTACATCAAATCAAAATTAAAATGGAACGGTATCAAGTGGAAACTTAATTCTCGCCCTCTCTCTCTTAAAAATTATGAGAGAATGACCCGGTTTACGATGCCTCATAAATTTTTTTCGCTAAAAACGATCGTAATCTATCATTATATTAAAAGATTAACCATTTAATCATTTTGGCAACCTTTTCCCGCCATCTTCATTTATTGACTACTAATTATAGATTTTCGGACATAATTCATATCGCATTGAATGATAACGCAATTCTGTTTTCAATCTTTCGTTTTTTGCTCATTAAAGATCGCAGCATTAATTTCTATCCTTTATCCTTCCGTTATTCCGCATTTACAATCCCGTCAAAATTTGTTATAAATCTTCTTTTTAAATTTGAAATACGCGTACAGGATTTCCGATAAATGAGACAAATTTTTCCATTTTTTTAATTTTGAAAACGCGTACTGAATTTATGATAATTGAGGCGTGGGTCAACAAAAAATATGGAATTTGTTAATTTGTTAAGATATACTAAGAAAGAGTCCATTTTGCATATCTCTTTTAATTTGTTAAACGATTTTGTTAGCATTAATGAATTCATTGACATTCATTCACGTGTAAATCAGATCAAAAGTGTCCTGCAAATCTGATTTGCTCTTTTTTTTTCCACATTTCCTGCATTCGAAAAAAAATAAATCGATATAAACTAATTAATTAATTTAATAATACAATTACCACATTGACCAGAAGTCAGCAAATATTTTAAAAACGGATGTATAAATCGTGGTACACAATTTGTTTGCATATAGATAGGATTTATTTTCAAAAGTCCATAATAAAAAAAAAATTCTACAAGATTTTTCTTTCGATTTAAAAGTCTCTTTAAACTCTTTATTTCTGATATATANCTCAACAGTTCAAACTCCAAGGTCTGAGACTGTGAATCATAGAGACTCTTCAAATGCTCCAACATTGCAGAGGGATTCATCCCATCATGTTGCCTCTGCAACTCAGTGGACATAGAGGACAACATGACACATTGAGCCGAAATTTCATCATCCCCGTGCTTCTTATGAGCAGCATGGTCAAACGTAGCATACTCAGAAGAAGTCTGTTCAGGCACAACGGATATCTCTGTGTCCAACACATACTCAATCCGTTCTTGCCTTAATACCAAACGCAAATTGCGCAGCCAGTCAGGAAAATTCGGTCCAGTCAACTTGTTCGTTTCCATCAAACATTTCAATGATAAGTTCGACATCTTATTCAACCTAGAGAAATATATAGAACAGGAATTAAAACAACATGATCACATTCGTTAACTAAATTAACATGGTTTTTAATTAATTTAGCTCCCATTAATTTTACATACTCTACGACCTCTTCAAAACAGTACGGACTCATATCAAATATAGTCATAGTGAGCCAAAATCCACATCCATCCCATTATAGTCCCAGCTAGGGCTGATCACTATAATGTATGTAGTGGTAGGTCTCTAAACCAATTGTAAGGGTAAATATACAAGATCCCTTTGTATTATACGAAATCTGCGCGTTTCTCCCATGTATTTTAAAAATTTTTGGGTGTTTCGCGCATATAAAACCTTAATAGAATAGAAGGGGGTCTGACACAATTTTTAAAATACATGGGGAAACGCGCAGATTTCGTATAATACAGGGGGGTTTGGTGCATTAAACCCCCAATTGTAAACAATTACAACTCTTGGTTGATCAGATCTAATTTGATCGACGTCCTTAGATCATTCCGACGCTAGAGCGACAAGAATTAACTAAGTAAGTCAAAACCATCACACGATCTCAAACATATGTATCTATGAATGAGTCTGAGCCTCGTAGCCCTAAGCAAACACTAGAGTATAAATACTTTTTGACGAATAGGTTTTTGCACTCATTCAATTGTGATGGGTGACGTCATACATCCAAGATGAGACTTACATTTTTTATTAGGGGAACATTTGAACGGGGTATTAAATATCCAATATTCAAACAAGATCCAACAAATAACACATATCGGGTGCCGTCTACCCGAGCATGATATTACGCGGTCCGACAAATACTGGGCGCCGCCTACCCAGACATAATATAACGCGGTCCACAAATACTGGGCGGCGCCTACCCAGACATAATATAACGCGGTCCGACCAATACTCAACGCCACCTACCCAGACAATAAAATCGCGGACACTAACTAAAATAAAATAAACTATTTAATTTATTTCAGTTAGACAAATATGAGCAAATAATCCAATTTTCATGCATTTATAATATTCCAAACACATAAATATGTATTCAAAATACATATGTCAAGCAAATTCATGGATCAAAATAATGTGCTAAAATGTTTATCAAAATTTCTAAAATTTTGAAACAAGCTCAAAGCTTTATTTCGTTCATTAAATATTTCAAAAATATTAAATAGTCATTTGACAATAGTTTTTAGTTTGAAATATACCCCAAAGGAAAATTTCAATTTTAGGGATTTTTCCGAAATTTGAAACAAACAAAAATACCAATTATTTCAACCTTTTCAAAATTCTGAATTTTGTGAAAAAACCAAACAGGCCTTACAGTTTTGAAAATAACAAACAGGCCCTAGGCCAATTTCAGAAATTACATACAGGCCCAGACCAGTTTTCAAATTTACGAATTAACCCCAGGTGTCAGATTGGAATAAATTGAAGTTTCATAAATTGCAAATCCGCCCCTACTATTCATCAAATTTTCAAAAGGAGGCCCCAGTCCTAATTCTCCTTCTCCCGTCTGCTCACTGCCTGCCCGCCGGCGTCCCGTGACCTCCGGTCAGCCGCGAATTCCCAGACTCGCGTGAAACCGACGGGAACCTCCCTTGCCCGATCAAACGGCCAGTCCACATCGCCCAGATTTTTTTATTTTTTTTTAATGAGTCCGCCATTAAAGGCGGACGAGCTCGAAGCTCGGGTTACTGGCGTACCGCCACAGAGGCGACAATCGCCGGCAGTAGCATCGTGGTGGTCGTGGACGGAGGTCCGATCAGGATTCCAAAATCCATTTTTTTTTTTTTTTTTTTTTTATAAAATTTCATCCGCCCAGCGGCGGCGACCATTGGCCGCACGAGTTCCGGCTGTGAGCCACACGACGCCGAGCGCCGGCAGCGGCGGGAGGGAGTCGGTGAACGAAGAGCGAGCAGCGGCGGGGGTTCAATTCCCAGATTTTGACAAGCAGTTCGAACATAACCCAAAATCTTAATGTTAGTTTAATTAACTTTAAAACAATTTTAAAGACAAACTAAACTAAAATACCATTACCAGATTCCAAATCACAGCCTTTGCGAGCAGGTTTTTGGTTCGTAGAGCACGTGAATTCTTAAAACATACAAACAAGAATTCCAAATTCACATCTTAATTATACTTTAATTATCATTAAAACAATTAAAATATAATTAACAGATTATAATCTAATTAAAATCTGCATCTTGAACGTACATATCCATTCGAACAGACGCCGAGCATCTATATTTAATGATTATTCTAATAACTATTAAAATATATTATAATTCATTTTTATTTTAATATATAAATTTTATTAATTATTATTATAATTATAATTGTTGAGATTTATAATAGTTATTATAATTTTTTATTTAAATTATTATAATTATTACTGATTTAGAATTATTATATATTTAATTATAATTATCATTACAAATTATTATTATTATTTCTTATAATATTATTATTATAAGCATTTATAATTTATAATTATTAATATTATTAATATTATTTTTAGAATTTATAATTAATTACAATTTATTCAACTTATTATTATTATAATATTTAATAATTATTATTATAATATATAATTATTATTATAATTTATAATTGTTATTATAATTATT